GTCCGTCCCCATACCTATCCTGAGCATCTGTGGGCACCCAAGGTCTGCCTCCAACGGGTACAGAGGGAACTCCTCCCACACAGCCCAGGTGCTAAAGACAGGCTGGGGCACCCAAAGTCTAAGCAAGAGGCAGGAAGAAGCCAGCAACCGTGGCTTCCCTGGAAGGGGCCCTGCATCTGCGCACAGCAACGGCTCCCCTTCCGCCTCCACCCCACCCGCCCCCCCGGACCCTCACATTCCCCTCTGCTTCCTCCTCCACCTCCGGTCCTGCCCACCTTACAGCGGCTTTTCTAGAGTGAGGTCCACCTACACTAAATCTCCCAATTGGTCTTCTGCTCGAAGCTGGCCACTCACCTAAATCTCCCTAACCCTAGGGTTTGGTCTCAGAAAACTAAAGATGGACTGTAAGAGCACACTATAACCTATTTTTTTAAATTATTATGGAACATTTCAACAGGCACACAATCAGAGAATAGTTCAACAGAGCTCCGTGTGCCTATTCCTGTGCTTCATCAGTTGCCAATAGTCTATCAATTTTGTACAATTTTTTAAAATGAGGGGTTCAAATTATACTTATTGACGGGAAAAGATGTTCCTGATTTATGGAAAAAGGCAGTTTAAAAAGAATTAATAGTCAAGTGTAGCATGATCCCAAACGTGTTAAAATACATTTTTTTTTTTGACGTTTGGAACTACAGATTAGCCACAAGATAAATTTGTCCAGCTGACCGCTGCTGAGCCCTTAGTATCTGTGGCCTGTTCTGGTGGCTTCTTTCAGGAAATCTTGTCCTGCTTAGAGGGACAGGGTGAAGCAACCTCCTGTCCTGGCCAGAGAGAGATGCACAGCTGTATGTCACACTTTTGCAACCTGCTAGTCACCCTCTCAGTGTTGTGTTGCCGGTGCTGAAAAAACATCACAAAGAGAAAAAGCCATGAGGCCTTCAGTAACACTGCAAATGAAAGTCATAAATGACAAGCAGTTACTTAAAGTCGTGGTGTCAAAATCTGAGTAAGATGTTTGTGGTATATTCTTGCTAAGTGAAAAAGAAAAGAAAAAGGTATAATACTGCCAACGGGGTGATCCTCATTTTGATTTGACAAAAGAACAAATGCCTTAAAAAAAAAAATGCCTGGGGGACTTCCCTGGTGGCGCAGTGGTTAAGAATCTGCCTGTCAACACAGGGGACACAGATTCGAGCCCTGGTCCGGGAAGATCCCACATGCCGTGGAGCAACTAAGCCCATGCGCCACAACTACTGAGCCTGCGCTCTAGAGCCTTCAAGCCACGACTACTGAGCCCGCATGCCACAAGCAGAGAAAGCCTGCACGCCTAGAGACCGTGCTCCGCAACAAGAGAAGCCACTGCAGTGAGAAGCCCTCGCACCACGACGAAGAGCAGCGCCCGCTCGCCACAACCAGAGAAAGCCCACGCGCAGCAACGAAGACGCAATGCAGCCAAAAATAAATAAATAAATAAACAAACAAACAAATAAAAATGCCTGGGAAGGTGGCCTGGAAGGCTGCCTACACATCAGTGATGTGTGAAGGATGCTTATGGGGGTGTTTTGGATTCTTCTTGCTTATCTGAGGAGTCCACTTTTTTCCCTATGAGATGCATATAGAAAAATAAGCAATTTATTTACAAGCAATTAAACCACTCAAAATAAATACATTTTTACTTTAGTAATCCCAGTATCATTGCATTTGAAAACAAGAAGGTACCACCAAAAAAAAAAAAAAAAATTGGACTTCCCTGGTGGTCCAATGGTTAAGACTCCGTGCTTCCACTGCAGGGGGCATGCGTTCGATCCCTCGTTAAAAAAAAAAAAAAAAGTACCACCACCAACTGGGTTCTACACTCAAAGAAAGTTCCGGAGGTGGGAGAACCTGTCTGACAAAGACAGGTTGAGGGAGGGCCCTGAAAACTACCTGGTCTCCTCAGGTGTGAATGAGAGTGGCGGTGGGAGATCCAGGTGTGGGCGTTGTATAGAAAAAACAAACGGGACCTGGGGAGACTTTGGACATCCTGTGTGTGTCAGGGTGGGGGCACTTTGGACAAGTAGCCCTGACCCAGTGCAGCAGGGTTGAAATGAGGGCTCGGCTCCTGATAAAATAAGGTTCTCTTCTTCAAGGAGCCTTTAGGTTATTTGTGCGTGAAAAATAAAGCGAAGTCCAGAAGTAAAGCCCTGACAGAGCAAAGACAGACGTCTTAGGTAAGGCAAGCAGTGGTCACTGGTAAAAAGGGAACTCGTGGCTCTGGGAAGTGTTAGACACTCCTAGACCAGGAGCCTCTGTGGTGCTTCTATACGGAGCAATCCTGTGTGGGCTAAGATTTAAAGAAAAACTGTCCAACTTCAACTGGCTGCAGCCCATGCAGCAGAAGGAAAGGATGATTTTACAGGAAACCTAGATGAATAACACTAATGCTAACAATGTTCCTACCAAGAGTAAGAGCACCTGCCATTTATTTATTGAGCTGTTATTATGCACCAGGCACTTTGCATATATTATCTCACTTAACTCTTGTTACCACTAGGAACCATAAAACCGATTGTGTTATTTAACATCAACAACATGGGGCTGAGGAACACTGTCCTCTAAAAATCCATGTACCATGAGAAATTTTACTATGTGAAATCTTTTCCAGGAGCATGGAATGTCCCATCCTTGCCTGAAGGTTCTGCGCTATGCAGGTCACTATAACACATAGCAACTGTGATTTCCAACCTAGGTACAGAGCTTGGGATAAAGGGTTTGGGGATGCAACATTCCACATGTAGCTTCATTTTGTAGTAAGGAAGCCAGGTCCTGTGTTCACTTCCTAGCCCTGGTGGTAGTCAAAGTTTCTAATATGACCTAAAACAATGTTGCTAAGGGGTGGTGGCCAAGGCCACGCAACCCCTGTTCCTTTTGAATCATTATTACTTTCTTACCAATGACACCCTTGTTCCTCCACTGAAGGAAGCTTTCTAAAAAAAAAAAAAAAAAAAAAAGCTAATTCAAAGACTGTTTTCTTGGCAGAGACATTTTAAAAGGAAACAATAAAAATGTTTAAATCTCTGCTGTCCAGTATGGTAGCCTCAAGCTCCATGCAGCTGTTGAACCCTTGAATAAACACAACACTGTACATCAACTATACTCCAATAAAAATTAATTAAAAAAAGATGTGCTGAAGTGTGGAATACACACCAGATTGCCAAGACTTAATATGGCAAAAATTTTAAATATCACATTAATAATTTTTATATTAATTGCATATTGAAATGATAATATTTTGAAGATATTGAGTTAAATGAAATATATTTTTAAAATTAATTTCACCTGTTTCATTTTACCTTTTAAAAAATATGGCCACTGGAAAATTTAAAATAATATGTGTGGTTTGCTTTTGTGGCTTTCACTATATTTCTATTGAATAGTGTTGGTTTAGATAATCATTGTCATACTGGAGGCAAAAAAGAAGAGCAAAGAAGAGAGGAAGGGAAGCGGAAAGGGAGGAGGGGGTGGGGGAGAGGGAGAGGGAGAAAGGAAGGGAGAAGGAGGGGGAGGGGAGAAGGATTATCAGAAACCTCCTAGGACTGTAAAAGTCTGTAGGCTCCTCCTAAGACCATGGTAGGGTGGTGAGGTTCCAGAAAATGTACTACAGCCTGTTAATGTCTATCAGAAAATTGCTCAAGTGTTTTATCAAGAATGCAAAATTCTTCTGAGAAAGAATAGCTATTTATACCAGACCAGAGCTATTTATACCATTCCTGCTTAGATTTGGGACAGTTTCTTCCTCAACCCCCAGAGAATATGATTCCATGGGTCTAAGGAGGGCCCAGAAATTGCATTGTTAAGCAGACCCACCAATGGGGTGACTGGTGTTTCTCTGAGTTTGAGAGCTGTTGACTTAGAAGGTGGTTGTATAGACTTGGTGACCCCACTGGAAGGGCTAAAGGTGCCACGAGAGGGCCCTGAAATGGGCCTTTGAGAAAAGCCCTGTGCTTCGTAGAGTGTCACCTGAAGGGAAATGGGAGAGAGGCTTCAGGGTGAGGCCAGGTCTCAGTCTCTCTGGGGGTGGGGTAAGTCCCAACACTCACCCTTTTAAATCTAGCCCCCTGTGCTCATGGGTTGAGTTCGGTGGCGCAGGCCCGTGCTCTTCCAATCTTACTGTTCATCTAGCCTTTAAACAAACTTTGAAAAGCTATGTACTTTTCCCCACATTTTTTTTTTTTTCTTTTTTTGCGGTACGCGGGCCTCTCACTGCTGTGGCCTCTCCCGTTGCGGAGCACAGGCTCCGGACGCGCAGGCTCAGCGGCCATGGCTCACAGGCCCAGCCTCTCCGCAGCGTGTGGGATCTTCCCGGACCGGGGCACGAACCCGCGTCCCCTGCATCGGCAGGTGGACTCTCAACCACTGTGCCACCAGGGAAGCCCTCCCTCACATTTTTAAGTAGACATCTAAAATCTTTCATCATCTAGTTAAATAGTTGCAAAGGATGTAATTTCAGGTGTAATTTCAGTATTGACATTTCACAAAGAAACCATTAGATCACTTTTTAATAAATCCATTGGGAGCTGCATATCATTGCAATTTGATACCCATCATGGTCCATTTTAATACACAGGACCCAGCTCTTCTAATGAGACAAAAATTTATATCATTCCTTCTCTTCTTGAGCTCACTCCCATTCCACTGCCCCCATAGAATTTTACCCCAATGTAATGTGTTTTTATATCTGAAAGTATTTTTAAGCACCGCTTCATATTTCTATGCATCAAAATTAAGTGTATAAATAGAAATTTTTAAAAATTTAATTACCTGTGATCAAAACAACATAAAATATTACAAACATATTACAAGTTTTGATAGTTATTCCCTTTCAAAAGTAATTTTACTGGAAATACATCTCTTAATGGGGTGGATAGGGCTATTTTTTCCATATAACCTTGGATGAATAATATTAATTGCAAGAAAGAGACATCTATACATTTAAGTGCTGAAGAACATTCTCTATACAGACAAGTCGATGGGAATGGGTGGAGTTTTGTTGCCGTAATCCCACTCAGTTTGTGAAATTCCTTCTGAGTCATACATAAAAAACCTTTTTATGAATGATCAAAAATGATGCTTAATGAGGTGTTAGCTGGCAACCTGGTTATGTCCCCCTCCAATTATTCTGAAAGCAAAGGATTGGAAACCATTTGACTCACGAGGGATTTGTAATCCTGTTATTAGACACATCGTTTTTTCGATACCTACCCAATAGTATTTCTAATGATCCCTTCGTTTGATGCCTCGGAGGTGCTCCTCTCTCACTGGACAAAAGAAAGTTAACCTCCCACTCATCCGGAATCTTTGTCTAGTGGGAAAGGGGCTGGTGGAAAGGAGATGCCTGAAACAACGGGAAAGTTCACAATCAGATCAACCTGGGAGAGTTCACATCAAATTGGAGGATTGTCACAGACTTTATGTTTGTGTCCCCCAAAATTCATATGTTGCGATCCTAACCCTCAAAGAGGTGGTATTTGGAGGTGGGGCTTTGGGGAGATAATTAGGTAACGGGATCAGTGACATTGTAAAGGAGACCCCAGTGAGCTTCCTCATGCCTTCATCCACGTGAAGACACAGTGGGAAGACGGCCGTCTACGAACGAGGATGTGGGCCCCCATCAGACACCTAATCTGCTGGCACCTTGATCTTGGACTTCCCAGCCTCCAGAACTGTGAAAAATAAATATTTGTTGGTTACAAGCCACTCAGACTAGAGTACTCTCTTATAGCAGCCCACACTGACTATGACAAGGATCTTGAATGGCAGGTGGACCTCTTAAAATGGAATTTAGTGCCCAGATATCCCTTGGGAAGTCTCAGTGTGTCCCCCAGGGGTTCACATAGCCCAGGCATTCACACACAGCCAAGTTAGGTGCAATTGCTGCTGCAGCTGAGAACTCAACCTAAACATAACCTCGACTCACCGGCAAGGAGGTGGCAGCTGCTCCCTGGTATGTTTTGTGGCCCATCACACCCAGAGCTGCCTTTCAGTTCAGCTGGTTTCCCCTCCATGGGAAAATGGCTTCTTAGCCTCATCCTCTCCTTTATGTGTCATATTCCTTCCTTAAACTTTTCTGGGTAAGTCCTTAAATTTTTCTTCAGCACATATCCAATATTTATTGCTTTGTCATGGTAGTAAAAGTTTGAGACCTCTGAGATAAACAGCTTGAGTTAAAATATTTACTTGTTGGGCTTCCCTGGTGGCGCAGTGGTTGAGAGTCCGCCTGCCGATGCAGGGGACACGGGTTCGTGCCCCGGTCCGGGAAGATCCCACATGCCGGGGAGCGGCTGGGCCCGTGAGCCATGGCCGCTGAGCCTGCGCGTCCGGAGCCTGTGCTCCGCAACCGGAGAGGCCACAACAGCGAGAGGCCCGCGTACCACACACGCAAAAAAAATTTACTTGTTGTGCAACCTTTGGAAGTTACTTTCAATAAGCCTCATTCTTCTCTTACGAAAACTTGTTTTGTTTTGAGGTTTAAGTGATTTAACGTACACGAGGTTCTGAGCACAAAAGGCTTTGAGACTCAGAAGAGAAACCACTGAGCAGGTCTCAGGCTCTGTTGTTCCACCACGTTAACTCTGCTCCTCCCTGGCCCCGTTTTCCTGGGGAAGGTTGGGTCAGAGAGGCAGAGAGGCAGTGTGTTGAGTTAGGGCTCTGGGAAGTCAGTGTCAGAGCCTCAGAAAGGAAGGGGGCATCCGCAGTGTCTGAGACCCTCAGCCTGAACTCAGTTTCACCTTCATCCTCTGCTTGCAGAGGCACATCGCTGCACTCTATCCACCCCTCTAATCCATAATGAAGGTGACCTTGGCCGTAGAAAGAGTTTAGACCGACTTGGATTTGAATCTCTGGCTGTCACTAATAGTTATTGAACTTGGGAAATAGACCTCTTGGGACATAGCTCCTCTCCCATAAAACAGGCTCAGCAATATGCATCTCAGGGTTAACGTGAAGGTCAAAGGAGATAAGTCAATGAAAACTCTGGCACAGTGCTGGGCACATAGTAGGCCCCCAATTATTCCTGAATGCTACCAGGTACAGTAGGTAATTATTACGGTATCTTCCTAGTTAGACATAGTGAGGAAAGCAGGCATGACTCAGGCAGACAAGGTGGTGTCACACACCCTCACCCGAGCAGAGCCTGGTGTAGGAAGACAGATAAGCCACTTTGGCTTGCTCTGGTGGAAGGGTGGTGGGTGGTTGTGAGTTAGATCCAGGGCACACTGGGCCATTTTGAAGTTGAGCTGCTTGTTTGTTCAGCATTGGAGGTGTCAGCCTGGTTTACAGCACCCCTCTTAAACTTCATCCTCATCTATGATGTGGGCTCTCTGATGGCCATGCTTGTACCATGGGACATCATTTCCTCTGATTGGACCGGGATACACATCTCGCCCAGACTGGGCTAATCAGATTTTCCTCTCCAGGGAACTTGGAATTGGGACAAAGAGCTTCCACTCTCATGCTGGGATCTGCTTGTGGATGGAGGAGATGTGAAACCTGGGTGATATGATGTGGCCATCTTCTGCCATGTGCATTGAGAGATAGGGAAAGCCAGGCTGCAGGGAGAGAGGAACTGAAGTAAAAACAAAAACAGAAAACAGACAGGACAAAAGAGACTATATTCCTGAGTTCCTGACAGTTCCCACTTCCGGTTTCCAGACTACTTCTCTGACCTGGGCACATTCTTGCCCTCGGATTTCATGAGACACTTTGTGAGTCCTCAGTGATGAACCTATCTTTTGCTGCTTGCACTGGATAATGTTGCATGTTAAGCTATTTCATGCTCAAGTTACAGAGGTCAACTTGAGCTAGCTGAAACAAAAAGAGGAAATTAGTGCAAGGTGCTGGGATATCTCATGAAATTCAGGAGGTTTCAATCAGGTTCAGAAGGTACCAACATCAGGGCAGCCCTGGGCATGTCAGCCACAGACTGGGAAGCCGACTTCTTTCCGGCACGCTGCCATTAAGATGCCTCAGTGTGGGCTGTTTCAGCTCAAAACTCCAAATTCCAGGGGTGGAGAGAACCTCATTGATCTGTGATGTGCATGTTAGGGATGCCTGTGGAGTAGCTCCAGGCAGCAGCAATATAACTGCTGAGAGAATTTACTATGAGGACAGGACGTGCTGCTCCCCAAGAACAAGGAGTGGGCACTGACCAGCCAGTGCAAGTGACATCCTGTGAAAGCTGGTTCCTACAATTTACGGCTCATGGGGAATCGTTCTTCTCACTGAGTGGGCTGCGAAGGTTTATAAAACAGTGTCTCTGACATCAAAGAATTTATAAGCTGCCCACAAATAATAATACTCCAAGGCAGCCTGTGATAGCTGCTAGAGATGTACAAAGATGAAGTGCTACAGGAGTTTCGAGACAGGCGAGATGCCTTTGAGCTGTGGGGACTACAGCCCAGACTCCAGGCCATGTCAAGGTTGGCAAATGACTTACTGAATGAAACACTAAAAATACACTTAATGTGCCTTATGGTAACAGCCAGGAACATGTATTTACAAATAAATGTTAAATGCAATAAAACAAGAATGTGTTTTTGATGGACTAATCCAGAGTATGTGAGCCAGGTTGACATATGCAAATGTATAAGGTGAAAAGTAGACACACACCAGCTGGGCCAGGGTCTTGTCTGAATTTGAAGGCAAATTAGTCCTATCCCTATACTTTTGGCCCCAGCCCAGATTGTAAGTTTCTAGTCCGCTCGTCTCCCCAAACCCTCGTCCCCATAGTGTTCATGCTTGGGATCTTATAGGCTGATGGCCTTTTCTCCACTGGCCACTGGAAAGCTCCTTCCAAGACAAACACATTCTTGATCTGCTCACGAAATACTCCCTCCATGTCTTTGCCTCAACAAAAACCTGAGTGTTTTTTTTTTAATTTTCCTAGTCATATATATGGGGATTCCTTTCAAGTTGATCTTAGAAACTGCTCTGATCCATATCTGTCTCCCATGCTTCAGACCTATGGGTCCTGCTGCCTGATGGAATCTCCTCCCTGGATGTTGCAACTCAACTGACGTGAGTGTGCGCGCGGGCATTACCCCTTCTTCCTGTATCTTCTACAGCACCCACTCTACAGCCTGGAAGTGAAATTTGATTCTTATCGCCCTTACTCTCCATGCAAATCAATCACCAAGTTGTTATAATTCGCCTCCTCAATATCACTCCCATTTGTCCCCTTCCTTTACCAGTGCCCCATCAATCCCGTGATTGACTGAATGCACAACTCTTGGTTTTGCCTCACCATCTGTGTTATCTGCTGCTATGTGACCAGCTACCCCCAAACTTAATAGTTGGAAACCGCAAATATATATTATCTCCCATAGTTTCTGAGGATTAGGAATCTGGGAGAGGCTTAGCTGAGTGGTTCTGAGGGTCATTTCTGAGGCTGCAGTCAAGCTGTCAGCTAGGGCTGCAGTCATCTCAAGGCTGTCGGGCTGGAGGAGCTGCTTCCAGGCTCACTTACGTGGCTATTGGCTGGGGGCTTCAGTCAGACTCTCCATAGGTTGCCTGAGGGTCACAATGTGGCAGCTGCCTTCCCCACAAGGATGTGTGTGTGTGTGTGTGTGTGTGTGTGAGAGAGAGAGAGACAGAGAGAGAGAGAGAGAGAGAGAGAGGGAGGGAGGGAGGAGTTCTAGATGGAAGCCATAGTCTTTTTAAAAACATAATTAAGTTTTTATTTCTTTTTTTTTAATTGAAGTATAGTTGATTTACAATATTGTATTAGTTTCAGGTATACAGCAAAGTGATTCAGTAATGTATATATTTTTTCAGATTATTTTCTGTTACGTATAGTTTATTACAAGATATTGAATATTGTTCCCTGTGTTATACAGTAAATGCTTGGGGTGTTTTTAATTTCTAATTAATGATTTTTTTCTTTTTTTTTCCAGTTTTTTGAGGTATAGTTGACATATAGCACCGAATAAGTTTAAGGTGTGCAGCATAATGATTTGACTTACATACATCATGAAATGATTATCATAGTAAGTTTAGTGAATATCCACCATCTCATATAGATACAAAATTAAAGAAATCTATAAAAAGCCATAGTATTTATTTATTTTAAAGCCATCGTCTTTTAAAACTGAATTTCCAACATTTTCACTTCTGCTATATTCTATTGGTCACATACACCAAACCTGATACATGTGGGAGGCTATGTGTGGATACCAAGATGTGAGGATCCTTGGGGGTTATCTTGGGAGTTGGCTACCACGACATCCTTTTACCCTTTTTGTTGGGTAAAACAATCTCTTGCTTTTCCTTTGGGGAACCACCCCTCCCCCACTGGTAAGCTATAGCTTGAGTGGAGCTGCCCCACCACCATTTCTGGTGAGGGTCCCCATTTGCAGTATGGATCCTGCTTAGCTAAAGTCCATATCAGCATATTTTGCTATGGATTGAATGTTTGTATCCCTCTAAGATTCATATGTTGAAACCCTATCCTCCAACGTGATGGTATTTGGAGGTGAAGACTTGGAGTTGTAATTAGGGTTAGATTAGGTCATGAGGGTGGGGCCCTCATGATGGGATTAGTGTCCTAATAAAAACAAGAAGAGACACAGGGTCTCTCTTTCTCTGTGCTCACACCAAGGAAGGCCCTATGAGGACATAGCAGGAAGAGGGCTCTCACTGAGAACCTGACCATGCTGGCACCCTGTTCTTTGACTTCCAGCCTCCAGAACTGTGAGAAATGAATATTTGTTGTTTAAGCCACCCAATCTGTGGTCTTCTCTTATAGTAGCCCGAACAGACTAAGACCCAGTCACTCTGGCCTTAGTGATAGGGTCAGGGATGAGCAGATGACCCAACTGAAAGGCAGTGAGACATTAGGAAATGTTTGCTAGAGCTTCTGGGAGGATCTGAGTTGCTTCACTGGGAGATCCTGGAAGAGATGCTCTCTCTTCCTCTGACTTTGGAGGTGTGAGGTTGTGAGGCTAGGGCTGCTGGCATCTTGCTAACACAAAACAAACCTGCCTGGGAATGAAATTCATATTCAGAGGAAGTCGAGCAAAGAGATGGATGCCAGAGCTCTGCTTGAGCTCTGGATAAAACCAAGCCTACAGCTGGGCCTATCTGTAAAT